GGAAAGTCTTATTTTGGAGAAAGTGACCGCCTGGGGTTTCGCATCACGAATACATTGTAAGTGTATTAACCATTCACTGGTGCTCAACACAAGCACGGTTGTCGGTTCCGTCCGGGCTGTAGACTGTTTGCTGACGGTGGCGTATGCCTCCTCTGGAGTTCTGGCGACGCAGTTTGAAAAGTTTTGCAATTTTAGCAAATTGCCATACTCCCCTCGCACTGTGGAGAAATTGCTTGTAGATATCGAAGGTGCTGTAGAGTTGCTCAAGCTTGAAAGCCTGGCAGCCGCGCAAGAGGGCGAATCAAGGGCCACCGAGCAACATGACCCCACTTCGACAGCAATTAGTGTCGAGACTGATGCTCGGCACGCTTGCCGGAAGAACTCCACTCACACAGATGTCGTCGCGCTTGGCCAAATGACCCACAAAGTTGTAGGGATTGTTCACGTAAGCAAAAAGGATGAACTATCTTCCCAAAAGCACGAAGCGTTCGATACCAAAAAGCTGTACGAGTACTTCGATTCTAAAAAGATCTCCGTGCTAGATCACGCACACGACCGCAACACCACAGTCAATAAAATAATCAGAGAAAAAAACGGGCCATCCAACTCCAACGACCGCTGGCACGCTGCGAAGAGCCTCAAGAAAGGATTTCTTGCAATTTCATCTGGACCGAAGAGGAACGAGGGCAAGACATGGCACGTGGAGCTGTCCGACAAGTGCCAAGCGGTCCGTAACCACGCGTACTATGCTATGGCCGCTTGTGAGGGGAATCCAACCAAGCTAAGAGATATTTTCATAAACTGCGTAAACCATTTTGAAGGTAAACACGAGAAATGCAGCGAGGAATCAATTTGCAAAGAAAATGGACATGTCCCGACGACGCTGCTCGTGAAAGACCCGCTAGCGTCGGAACTTCTAACAAAATTTCTGAAATCAACAACCATCTACAAGAACGCGGAAGATTACGTAAAGTCGAAGGATACATTCTATGTAGAGTCATTCAATAATACTATGCTAATTTACCTCCAGAAGAGGATTCATTACCAGGACAGAAGCTACAAACTGAGGCAGAGCTTGGCACTCCTAGACTGGAATGAGCATGTTGGGCGAGGCTACACTTCACGTTACTCTATTGAGGACTGTCGTCATCCAGACCGGCAAGGCGGGAAAAGGAAGTACTTCAGGAAGACATACAGGTAGAATATTTTGAAGTGTACAGTGTTGCCATGGAATACTAATCCTCTATTCTTTTCCTCCAGCTTCGTTCAAAAGATTCGGGAGTTGGTACTTCGGTCTGCTGCCCTGGGAGATGCCAGCACGGTGAATGACGACTCCCTTGTGAATGACGAGAGTGTATAACTTATAGGTAGGCCTAATGTAAATTTAAACTAGTACCATTGACGTATAATAACAAGCAAGCTTATTTCATTAGAACAGTTGGGCAATTGTTGTGTGTACTTCTGCATGTTTGTTTGTTTTTATTTCCCAGCTCGGGACATCACTGGACAAGGGACAGAAAAAGCCATTCCGCGGACTCAAAGATGTACCTGTAATTATTATGCAAATATACAATTTTCATGACAATCTTTTGTCGTTGCCAAATACAGATGCCACACAAGAGAAAGTGAACGCTAACCGGTACATACGATTGCGACAGAGCTTCAACCAGGGTGTGATCTTCCGAAGTACAAATTCCGAATAAACGCCCGTCGAGGGGTTTCGGAGTATATAAAGTGCTCACCCTTTTACACTTAGCGCATAAATAGATCAGAGCTCAGCAGAATGTACATCACCTCTTGGCTGTGCCTCTCGTGAGTCTTGAACGAGATATTAATAATTTCGATAAAAAAATAGATTAGCTGAAGAGAAAAATTAATTTGATTGCAGTCGAGACTCACAAGAAAAGCACAGCCTTTTACGCACAGTATATTGCGAGTATTTTCTGACGCACCGCGCGTGTTCTGGCATTGGCAATATTTGTTTCGGTGTTATACGTATATTTATCTAAGTTAGGCTCGATATCTGTCTGCTAGTGAGTGATACACTGTTTTTCCGTTCTCGTTTTTTCCAATTTTTTTTAACAAACTAAGCTAGCAATTCCTCTGCGCACCATGCCCTATTTATTTTGAAAATAAATGTGCAACATAATTTTGCAATTTATGCACTTGCCTAAGAGGATTGAATATTTGTAGAATTATGCGGCTGGGTTCAAGACGGATCCGCACCAGAAATCGCGCTCTTGTACCGCGGTACCATAACCATGGCTTCTTCAGTTTTGGTTTTTAGCTTGCGTTGTATATATTGTCGTCGGCATTTTGCAAACGTTATTTACGTTTCGGGGCTGTCGTGTTGCGATTTTTTGAGATGAGGAAATTCTGTTCGCATTTGAGGCGGACCAGGAAGTCCGTAATTTTCCCGACGGTACGAGCCTTACTCGGGACCGTGTGTGGTGTTATTTCGCTGCTGACGTCACGTATCCACGCCAACTGTATGACGGGAAAATTATCAGCGCACGGAAAGTGAAAGAAAAGCTTTTCTCCGAATCCGGCCAATAGTAATTTAGGCAGCCGATTGCTGGGAGGGTACCTTTAGAACGCGCGACACTAGAGCGCCGACGTTAGAGCGCGCGACGCGAAGGCTCTGCGACAGTAGCGCGCTTGATACGAGAGCGCATGTCACGAGAGCGCACCCCAGTTGAGCGAACACTGCAAATTGTGGGATGTACCCGCGGCTCCATAGACAGAACTAAATTGTGCGACTCATCGAATCGGAGCATTGGCGATTTTCGATTTATTAAAGATGCCTTTAATAAAAAAATAAAAATAAAAAGGGTACGGCTCCTTCTAACCAATTGTTTGCTGACATAGAAGAGAGAAGGGGGCAAGGGTGTGGCCATATAGGTACCGGGAATGCCTGCAGTTGGGTGGAGCAGCGAGTCTAAGATTTCTTCACGGTGGTGCGGTGCGTCTCTCGGATATACAATAAATGTTTGCTTTTTGCTATATTTGGTCTATTTTTGACAGGCATTTGGACCCCTATCATTTTGGCGGTTATTGGGACGTTTCTCGCATAACTTTAATAGTATTTTGACGTCCATGACCGTAATGGAAAAAGCTCACCGCTAAAAAAGTTCAGTAAAACACTCATCGAAGGAAAGCTCAGCGCAGTTTTATCGGATGCAAAGCTTTCCAGTCTTTTGACGGATACAGGAAAACCTCCCCTTCAAATCTGTGAGATATAACATCAGAAAACTAATGGAGCTATATAGATCAGCTGCATTTTTTTTTCTGCGGAAATATACGCTACAGATAATCCTTTTTTTTTTTTTTTTGCTGTCAGTTTTTTGAAACATTTCTTGGTTTGTTACACGAAAAAAATTCGTCGACTCATTTCGCAATGTCCTTGCCGAATGCCACGGCGTAAATCCCCGCCAATTTTACATAAAGCACGCGATGCCCGAAGAAGTGGTTGGGCCACTCGCGCTTGACTGGTTGTGCGCTCTCGATGTGCTCTCGAGTCGCGCGCGCTAACGTCGCAGCGCTTTCGAGTCGTGCGCTCTAACGTTGCGGCGCTCTCATGTCGCGCGAGCTAACGTCGTGGCGCTCTACTGTCGGCGGTCTAATGTCGGCGTTCTTCTAACGTGCGCTCTAGTGTTGTACAGCCCCATTGCTACCTATACCACCGGCTGTTGAAAACGCTCGAGGTCGTGCTCCCTTATTGAACTTTACGCGAGGTTATAATAATAATAGTACCTCTATTTTTTTCCAAGAAAAACAATGTTGAAAAGGTGACACGGAAAGAAAGCTGTAAAAACAGCTTGACGAAACGCGGGTCACCTAAACCAGCAGTCGCGATGCAGGCACCGACTTGTGACTCGGTGGCGAGATCCTGCTAAGAGCTACACGAGTCAGCGTTACTCACGCGGCTCGCCCCTCACCAGAGTGGAACAAACAATATGGCGAATTTGGTGGGGCAAAACGCTTTCCCGAACCCACGCAGGGACGATGGATAGAGGGCATGCGCACTAGGTGTTTCAAGAAAAAAAGGTGGACTACAGATTTGAGACATTTAACGTGCTAACACTGCACTAATAACTAGGCACAGAAAGAAAGGCGCTGAATCCAGAGACTTTATACACAAATAGTTTACTCCCACATGTGCCCCATGTAGGGAACACCAGGTGGGTTTGGATACAGGCACCGGACGTGTGCAACTACGCACACTGGCATCAATTCACGCTTAGTATATACTCCTTGGCCGGCTTGTCTCTTCTTCTCCAAGTACCTGGGGTCACGCCAAGTGGCCAGATTTGCCAGGCAGGCCCAGTACATTCTGTAATACTTCTTGCGAACCCCAGGATTCTTGGACGACGGTGCCTGGCCCATCCCCACCCTCACGTGGCCTTGGGTCAGTATACACGGAGCGCAAAAACATTCGGTGCACTCCATCTGGCCGTCCGCTGAACGTTATACACCTACAGGGAGTATAGAGAAACCACGTTAGTTATACAGGCATATAATTCGATTGAAACAAAACTAATTGAGAAAAAAGTTTGCATTGAACGAAGTCATCTGTCTGCCTCCCTACAGCGCTCTGTTGAGCTTGATAAAAAAGGAGGTGCGACTCAATAAACAGTGTACGCAAAGTTGTGGCATGCGGTTTAGAGAGGCTCGTTTTAACGAACGCCGTCTCAGCGACAACAGATTGTCGAATCGCCTCAAAACTCCGCTTAGAGAAAATGGCGACTGCCGGCATGCTGCTTGTTGTGTAGTTACCGCCAAGCGCGCGCTACTGGGACTATAGTGGCGGCGCTTTAGTTCCTTCGCTCTTCTTCTTTATCGTCGTGTCAGTTTGATAGCACGAGAGGTTCGCTCTAGTTCCACGCTCCATGGAATAAACCTCGGGCCATGGTCCTCCGGTCTACTGTGTCTGTTGCCCCGTCAAGACACGACAACTTGGCGACGAGGAGGCTTCGCTGAACTGCTACGCGGAAGCCGACATGGCAACGGGGGATCCGGCAGCGACGGGTCAAGTGCCGCAAGTCTTCGGCCGACTGGGACACATCGAGCCCTTCGACGAATCGACGAGCGACTGGCCGTCGTATGAGGAACGACTCACGTCGTTTCTTCTGGTCAACCGAATCACCGAGGACGACAAGGTACACGCATTTTTGAGTCTCATAGGCCCGAAAACGTACAGTCTTCTGAAGTCATTGATCGCACCGGAGTTGCCAGCAAGAAAAACGTTTGATGAGCTAAAGAAGCTTTTGGGGGATCACCTGGCACCGAAGCCATCGGTAATCAGCGAGCGCGCAAAGTTTCACAGAAGAACGCAGCTCGAGAACGAATCTGTAGCAGCCTTTGTTGCAGAATTACGCAAATTGGCGCAAACCTGCGACTTCGAAGCCGCACTTGACCAGTCCTTGAGGGACCGTTTCGTCTGCGGTTTACGCAGAGAGGACATTCAACGTGTGTTGTTCACAGAGGACAACAAGCTAACTTTCCAGAGAGCCGTCGAAAAAGCGCTAGCCATGGAAGCAGCAAAAAAGAACGTCGCTGAAACACATGCGTCAGAACCTAGAGTTTCAGACGTACACAAGGTGAAGGCCGTCGCGGAGGCGAACGTGACGCAGCGAGAATGCTATCGCTGCGGCTCAGCGAAACATGGAAGCCGGGTATGCCCGCACATTGCGGATATCTGTTTCAAGTGTAACAAGAAGGGGCATGTCCAAAGAGTGTGTCATGCGGACAAAGAAAAGAAATCGAAGTGGACGCCACGTAAGGCGATGAAGAAACTGGTTCCTGTTCAAGACCCAGTTGGCATGAAGGAAATGACCACGTCTGGCATGGAACCAATAAAACTCACAATAAACGTGCAGGAAGTTGCCTTGGAAATGGAACTGGACACAGGAGCAACTGTTTCTGTCATGTCACTGCAACAGTTTCGTCAGATATCTCCTTCAACAAAGATCATGCCGACGACGCTCAAGCTGCGCACGTTCAAGGGAGACATCGTTCAGCCCGTCGGGGTTGCTCACGTCGACGTGCAGTACGGACAGCAGAGGACCGAGCTTCCCCTCTACATCACAAGAGAAAAGGGACCACCTCTGCTCGGCCGGCAGTGGCTGCAAGCGATCCGATTGGATTGGAACCGGATTTTCGGGATCAACAGCATTGCCAGGTCAGATGTTTTGGCGCTTTCCGAACAACGCACAAAGCTTGGTGTGCTTCTGGACAAGTACCAAAATCTGTTCAATAAAGACCTGGGAACTATTGCTGAAGAAAGGGCAGAGCTGACGCTAAAAGAAGGTCACGTACCGAAATTCCTCAAGGCAAGAAACGTGCCGTTTGCCCTACAGCCTGCTGTCGAGGCTGAACTAAAGAAGATGCAAGACATGGGCGTCATAACACCAGTCACAACGAGTGATTATGCGACGCCGGTTGTGCCAGTAGTGAAGAAGGACGGTGGAATAAGGTTGTGCGGCGACTACAAGACCACCGTGAATCCTTGCCTTGACACTGACCAGTATCCGCTCCCGAGAGTCGACGACTTGTTCGCAGCGCTTTCAGGAGGCCAGGAATTTTCGAAGATTGATTTAAACCGGGCTTATCACCAGGTGGTGATGGCCGAAACGTCGAGCAAGTACCTAACTTTAAATACACACAAAGGACTGTTTGCCGTAAACAGGTTACCGTTCGGAGTCTCCTCGGCACCAGCCATTTTTCAGAGAATCATGGACACAATGCTGAAAGATCTGAAAGGCGTCAGTTGCTACTTGGATGACGTCCTCATCACCGGTAGGACGCCGGAAGAGCATTTGGCCAATTTGGAAGCAGTCCTAAAGCGGTTGTCAGAGCGTGGAGTTCGTGTGAAGAAGGAAAAATGCGCGTTTTTCCAGAAGGAGCTGCGTTATCTGGGCCACGTGATCAGTGCTGCAGGTGTCAGCACGACGCCAGAGAAGATCGAGGCTCTGCTGAAGGTTGCTGCACCCTCAAGCAAGCAGCAGCTCCAGTCATTCCTGGGTATGGTAAATTACTACGGGAAGTTTGTTCCACGATTATCCACCCTGGCGAGCCCGCTCTACAGGCTGCTGCGTCAAGACCAGCGCTGGTGTTGGGACAAAGCGTGTCAAGCAGCGTTCGAGGAAATCAAGACAGCGCTAGCAACACCATCGATTCTGGCACACTACGACCCAAGTAAGCCATTGCAAGTGGCGTGCGACGCATCCCAGTATGGCATAGGCGCTGTTCTGTCTCATGTGACTGAAGATGGAAACACTCGTCCTGTGGCGTATGCATCACGCACACTGACCGAAGCTGAAAAGAAGTACAGCCAACTTGAAAAGGAGGCACTAGCCATTATTTTTGGGATCAAAAAGTTCCACTTATACATCTATGGCCGAGTTTTCACTCTCGTCACGGATCACAAACCGCTACAGACTATTTTGGGCCCAAAGACAGGCATTCCGTCTATTGCGGCAGCACGGTTGCAGCGCTGGGCTGTTACCTTGTCAGCGTACAAGTACTCGTTGGTGTACAAGAGATCCAGTGACAATGCAGAGGCCGATTTTTGCTCTAGGTTCCCTCTCGAAAGTGGGAAAGACGATAGTTGCGAGGGCGAAGAGTCCTTCTATGCACTACGGCTAGAGTCAATGCCGGTGTCCTCTGAGGAGATTGCACGCGCTACGTCGCGCGACCCGTTACTTTGTCAAGTACTTGAATACACAAGCATGGGTTGGCCGACGCACGTGCAAGAACAACAACTCAGACCGTTCTTTGACAGACGCTTGCAGATGAGTGTTCATCAAGGGTGCCTAATGTACGGCATGAGGGTTGTTGTTCCGTCCCAGCTGCAGGAGCCCGTGCTCGAGGAACTGCATCAAGGCCATCCCGGCATCGTGCGAAGTAAGGAGCTGGCTCGCAGCTATGTTTGGTGGCCATCAATTGACTCAGACCTTGAAAGAAAGGTACGAAGCTGCCAAGCATGCCAGGAACAGCGTAATGATCCATGCAAAGCGCCTCTTCACCCCTGGGCATGGCCGACAGCACCGTGGAGACGACTACACCTGGACTTTGCAGGCCCGTTCCGCGGAACCATGTTCCTAGTCGTGGTGGACGCGCACTCAAAGTGGCCAGAGGTGTTCACCATGCAGAGCACTACGACCGAGCGCACTGTGAGGTGCCTACGTGAACTTTTCTGCAGGTTCGGAATTCCGGAAACAATCGTTTCAGACAACGGGCCGCAGCTGGTGTCCGAGGAATTCAAGGTGTTCATGAGGAACAACGGGGTCAGACACGTCGTGAGCGCCCCATACCACCCGAGCACAAACGGCCTGGCAGAACGGTTTGTGCAGACACTGAAGTCTGCACTACGCAAGTCATCTGCTGGTGAGTCTCTGGAAGAAGCATTGCAACACTTTTTGCTGACGTACCGGAATACTCCACATTCAACAACAGGAGAGACGCCAGCAAACTTGTTGATGGGCAGAAGATTGCGTTCCAGGTTGGATGTAATCAAGCCTACGGTAGAGGGGAAAGTGATCCACAAGCAATTTATACAAAGTAAGCAACGGAGGACAAGCAGAGAAGAAATCTGCCCTGGTGACAATGTCCTAGTGCGAAATTACAGGAGTTCGCCGAGGTGGTTACGTGGTACCGTCCTCAAGAAGACTGGTCCAGTATCTTACCAAGTCCAGGTTACCACGCCTCGAGGCAAGTTCATCTGGCGTCGGCACCTCGATCAACTTTTGAGCCAAACACGGCCAACGGCAACGCCGGTACCTTCGGACACCGACGACGCTGAGGGGTTCCTGGTCTTTTCACAAGGCGAGCCAAGTGTCCCGGCCACGGTACAAGAGCATGGGCCACAGCAGCCTCACACCATCCCGCAACGGGATCCTGTACCTCCTACAGGCCGATCTACTTCTAAAGGACGCTACCCATCGAGAGAACGGCGTCCACCTGACAGATACCAAGCTCACTCCTAACTTTTGTATAATACTGCCGTTGGCGCTGCTACGTAATTAAAGGGGGAGGAGTGTTGTGTAGTTACCGCCAAGCGCGCGCTACTGGGACTATAGTGGCGGCGCTTTAGTTCCTTCGCTCTTCTTCTTTATCGTCGTGTCAGTTTGATAGCACGAGAGGTTCGCTCTAGTTCCACGCTCCATGGAATAAACCTCGGGCCATGGTCCTCCGGTCTACTGTGTCTGTTGCCCCGTCAAGACACGACACTGCTCTCATTGTTCCCGATTCATTAGCCCAGCTTGCCGAACCGTTGGCGGCGCCCAATAGAAGCATTCTTTTTCGAATTGCTTGTATAAGAATGCAACCTTTCACCTATTAAAACAAATTCTGTAATAAATCCATTCCCATAATATGCTTGCGCTGATCTTGTAGCGGTATTCGTACATTACGTGGCAGTGTTAGCCCGAACGCGACATTGGCGCTTTTTACTATTTCTGCCCAGCAACATGTATTGTCTAGCACTAAGCTCTGCCACTTAGGTTGAATGCTCACATTAACAGTTTTCTAAACATCATTCACTTCTAAGAAAACAAAACGAGAAAAACCAGCGATAGTTTGTCCTTGCTAACTGTGTGGCGGTATACCTAAAATCTGTTTGCAATGAAAAATTACAAACGCGTTTCATGTTAAAAAAAAATCGCCTACGTTTAGTTTATTCTTTTATTTTAATGGCTCAAAAATACTTTAAAGCGGCAGCACGTGCTATAGCACCGATTTAGCAACGTTGAACTATAACACGACACGCTTCGATAGCCGCACTCGATAAATAATGCTCACAGAAAGGGTATAGCTTATATATTGATGTAGGAAACGGTTATCCAAGAGCTAAAACGATCCACTAAAACTTTTTTTAATATCGACACACACAACTGCTGCCTTCTCACCTCATGCGGTTGTTGGGACGTGTAAATATAAATGTCATCTACATTTGTTGGCCATCATATAGTGTGAGTTACGCACACAATAATTTGTGCTCGCTGCTAGAAAACAGAGATCCGCTACAAGATGCCCGCGCCTGGTACATAGTTCTGTCTTCCAGCGATCCCAATTGAGGCAGGTTTGAGCGTAATAAGCCTGTCTCTTGAAGATGGAATGTTTTGTGAATATGTCAGTCAACCTCACATATTGAAGTCACCACATCTCGCGCATGTGTTCTAAGCTCCTTGATCAACCGAGAATATCTACGAAACGTACCTTCAATGGGTGTGGGGATGCACCGCAGCTCCGAAGTATGTTTCCTTTGCCACGGGCTACAGCCAAACAACCTCGACAGCTCAAATTCGGTGTCTGGAAGGGCGCAGCCTTGCAGCTCCGTGAACCGTACGCCCGAGGGGCTATACTCCGTTCCACCTTCAGTCCGAGCGCAGTGGACGCCACGAGCCATCCCAGCCGATCCAGCGCCGGGAGAAAGTCGCGTGACCTGCCGGTAAGGCGGGGCGACGCAGGGAGCTCAAGGTCGCATGACACTCCCTCAACGCCGCATTGGCTGGGATGGCTCCTAGCGTCCGCTGTGCTCGGACGGAAGGTGAAACGGAGTATAGGCTTGGCGAGCGCCAAAAAATAGGGCAGATTACGCGATAAGAGCTGAAGCTACCCGTAAGTCACGAGGTCGCTGCTGCCAAACCCATCGCCCGTCTCTCACAATGGGGATTTTCTCGGCTTATCCTCTCAGAAGAAGCCGGCGCAAAAAGGGACCCTTCCCCCCGCCTCGCCGTGCTGCAAGACAGGAGAGAAAGGGAAAAAAAGAGGGCGAGGAGGACTTTCCGCCAGGCTGAAGAATATCTCTGCTGGTCCTAAGAGAAATATGAAGAGCCACATCTTACCTGAATCATCAGTCTCGTTGACGAGCTCCTTGAGGTCCGATTCTAAAAACGCTTGGCGTGCTCCTTTTTCTGTTCGACTGCCACCAACAACGATAATTTTTGTAGATGTCTTGTAAGTCACGAACAAAGTGACACTGGCGCACGCCGTTGAAGGTAGGACGGGAGGACGAAGCAGACGGATTGCTGGAGAGGAGAGGAGGGAACATCCCCTCTCTCCACCATTCCGCTTGCTTCCCCCTCCCCAGCGTACTTTTCCCTCGCCCTGAACTCTTAACCTCTAGTTGTTGTTGTTGTTGTTGTTTTTTTCATGACATATTGTGTTTTTTTTTGTTTTTGTTTTTTTTACGACACTTAAAGTCGTACCATGTCACCAGTGACGCCATACGGCCGGGTACGGGATGATATGGCTATGGCTGTGAACCGGACTTTAGAGGAAAGTCAATGCCCATCCAAGGGCAGAAGGGAACAACAAACTTGTCGAGTCTGTCCTTCCCCCAGCTTAGCGAAATCGGGTTGGAGGACGTAAGGGATTATAGAGGAGCGGCTGGGTGCTGGCGCACCTGCCTTCATTGTGAGCGTACGCTGGGAAAGCTTCAGCGAAAATATTTTAGAGCCTCGGGAGAAATCACCTTGACGTTGGTTTTCATTATTACTTCGTCTTCTTTAGGCCGTGCTCTGTATTCTCTATCGTGATTTTATAGGAGAACAGAGCAATTAATAAAACATAGACCAGACTTGTTCTGACGTTTTGTATATGGAACAATGCCTGTGTAAAAAAAAAAAAAAAAAAAAAAAAAAAAAGCTCTTGCCTTGAGAAGCGAATATTTATGGAAGTTTTTAAAATTATTTTTAGCTTTTATTAATTATTATAAAAATTATTTTTGTAGAATTACTGAGTTACATCCCGGCCACTGCCCGTTTGGATTCGGATTATCATCGTACAGGAGTGCAATAAAGGGACCATAAAACTGCTTCCTACTATCGTCGGATACCTCCAGTTTATAACCTATCATACACTTATTAGCTTTTCTGGCCACGCACGTGTAATAGCAAAAAATGTTGAATAAAAACAACTTTCTCTTGCACTGTGAACCGAAAAAGCGGCTACGAGTTTGAGACTATGAGCTGTGTTGTCTGTTTTCTTCTATTTTCTCCGTTCCAGGGTTTACAAATACAGCATGTTCTTTTCCAACCAGCTCGCCTGACCTATGCATTTCTCTCAGATGACGTGCCGTGAATGATCATTACGGCAATGCGCAACGGTTGTCAATAAACGGTGCACGCGCCGCACTCCGCACTCCGTACATTTGGCTGTTCCTGCCGTCACTGCAGTGATTGGGCTCGAGCCAATATTTGAATGTCCCGCAAGGCATCGACTGCGGCTAAGCCCAAGTGCAGTGCCAACGCAGTGCTCAAGTCCAACACATGAACCCCATTCAAATATCAGTCACGACAGTTCAGAAGGTATACCCGTAATATATCAACATCGTGGTTTCCCGAAAATGCGTCAGCAAGCTTTGCGTAGGAGCGACTGCAAAAAAAGTTCGCTTGTACTTAAAACAAAAACAAAAAAAAAACGCACTGTTTAGAGGCACTCTATGTGAGAATACAGTTCACATACTTCTGTCAGCATTCTTTTTGAAGTGCTCAATCTTTAAGTTCAGTATCGTTTTATGGCAAAATTTATTATTATTGCATGATGAACGTTAAGATCCCACGTTAGCTTCCGCACTGCGGTGGCAAAACTGTCCGTCTACAGTAGGGACAGTTTCAACCCAGAACAACTTTTCACTGCCTAGACCTTCTCACAGAAAATATATCCTTTTGAGTTTGCGACATGTCAAATAGAGTGCATTGCAGCAAACACCCGAAAACATAAACTGAATTTTTTCAACCTTGTGGGGACCCTCTCCCTGGCTCCCCCGCGCTCCGTGACCTTGCCGGTCCCCGCCGCCGTATTGTCGGGCGCTCCTTCGTTCCCTGTGACCTTCCCGTTTCCAGTCGCCGGCCTGTCGCGGAATGTCCGAGCTCTCCGGGAGGTACGGGGCAAGCGCCCCCTCACCCAGCGCTGACGTCGGAGGGTCGGCTCGCAGCAAAGTTCCCGATTGGACGGTCGGCGGGACAAGGACTTGGGAAGGTCTTAAGAGGGGAACGAAGACAAAGGAAGAGAGCTTGGGCTTGGGCTGCCGACTTCACAAGGGACCGGTCATGGAGGCGAGCTCGGACGGCGCTGGGCGCTGGCGCGGGGGAGTGCGGGCACTACGTCGAGTGGCGGACTCGAAAAACGGACCGGACAGCGACCCTGGGCGACGATGTCCCCATGACGCGGTGTGGATGACCACCGCTGGGACTCGGAGAAGCTGCTGTGGCAGCGGACTCTCCCCCGGCCTCGCTGTTGACCGTCCCCCGATCCCGAAACCCCCCAAGGCAATGAGTGAGTGAATAAACCCTTTTGCCGAGAGCGAAGTATTGAAGTGTCATATTCATCCGGGAACAGGGTCTGTGGGAATCGGAGCTAGAAGATGCCCGCATAAACTGGCGCCGCAACGTGGGGCCTGATTTTCGATCAGGCTGGCATTCCGATTTCTAACCTGCTTCCGGTTGAATTGGGGCACTGTTTCGCGCTCTTTTTGGGGGTCATCTTTGTCGCGGGAGCGCCGCACGAAGTTTCGTTGCGGGAGCGCCGCACGGAGGCCCTGACATTATCGCCTGTCTGACTAGGAGGCGCGGACTTTGACCGCTGTTTTAAGGGATTAACCCTTTTCCCCAGCCTGTCAGGAATTTGTTTATCCCCCGTTCCGAGACACCATGAGTATTTGCTGTCCAGCGCACCGTTGGATGCTGGCAGGTTGATCCTGCTACGCAAGAGCGCTGTGTGCGTCGAAATTACCGCACCCCTCGAGGCCTGTAGCGTCGGGCGTCCCCCCACCTACGCCTCCGGCCGTCCACGTCTGCTGGGAAAGATACCGGTTTACGGTTCGGGGGATGTGACGCGCCTAACCGCCTTTGTTCGCGTATCGATGTAAGGGTTTGTAACGCTTGTTACTGATCGGACGCGTTAAAGAGGCATCGCTTTGGGTGGAGAACGCTCCCATTGCGGATGGCGGTTGCACGAACTGTGTTTGGAAATTATTCCCGCA